TCGACCTATGAAGGCAAAAGTTCGAGTTGTGCCTTTGTCTTTGATTTATTTGTGCAAAACTAACACTGGTCGACCTCTTCTATTTATGAGGTCGACCGAATTTGTTTTGCACTCAATTGATACGAGCATTTGGGCCATTTATTTTCGTTTTAATTTAGCCGAGGTCGACCTGTGATGATTCTAAGGTCGACCTATGAAGGCAAAAGTTCTATTTATTTGTGCTAAACTTATTGAGGTCGACCTCGGGCCATTTAAATCGATTGAAAGGCAATTGTGACTTTCAGAAGCCGCGCAGTGCAGGAGATTAGGCCATCTTGTAATGCACTCGAAGACATAAATGATTTTGTATTCGAGTGCATTACAAGGTGGTCTAATGTCCCGAACTGCACGGCTTTTGAAAGCACAATTGGCTTTCAATCGATTTAAATTTTCCGAGGTCGATTTATGTTTTTTCTGAGGTCGACCGGATCTGTTTTGCACTCAATTGGTACGAGGATTTCGCCCATTTTAGACTCGATTCAATTTAGCCGAGGTCAACCTATGATGCTTCTGAGGTCGACCTATGAAGGCAAAAGTTGGAGTTGTGCAATTCTTTGAATTATTTGTGCGAAACTAACACTGGTCGACCTCTTCTAATTATGAGGTCGACCGGATCTGTTTTGCACTCAGTTGGTACGAGGATTTGGCCCATTTTAGACTCGTTTCAATTTAGCCGAGGTCGACCTATGATGCTTCTGAGGTCGACCGATGAAGGCAAAAGTTTGAGTTGTGCAATTGTCTTTGAATTAATTGTGCGAAACAAACACTGGTCGACCTCTTCTAATTATGAGGTCGACCGGATCTGTTTTACACTCAATTGGTACGAGGATTTGGGCCATTTTAGACTCGTTTCAATTTAGCCGAGGTCGACCTATGATGCTTCTGAGGTCGACCGATGAAGGCAAAAGTTTGAGTTGTGCAATTGTCTTCGAATTAATTGTGCGAAACTAACACTGGTCGACCTCTTCTAATTATGAGGTCAACCGGATCTGTTTTGCACTCAATTGGTACGAGGATTTGGGCCATTTTAAACTCGTTTCAATTAAGCCGAGGTCGACCTATGATGCTTCTGAGGTCGACCGATGAAGGCAAAAATTCGTGTATGTCGACCCATTCCCGTTTTAAATTAACTGAGGTCGACCTATGATTCTTCTGTGGTCGACCCATTCTCGTTTTAAACTAACTGAGGTCGACCGCTTTATGGAGTGGTCGACCGCGTATTGTTCATTTCGAAAATGTGACTAACGTGTATTCTTGCTTGTTTGATCGCAGGATGTTTGGCGGCAAAAAGAAAAGAAAGGCACAAAAAGCTGCTGCCTCAAGTTCGGAATGGGAAGAGTTCAATCCCAATCTGTTCCAGACGAAGGAGCAAAGTGAGAACTATGAAGAGAAGAGAATGCACAACCGCAGGGTGGCTCCGGGAAGGCCATTGACGACGGATGCATATTCTCATTTCGAGAATTACGGGTTTCTGGGACCCTTCATCGAGCAAGAGTGGCTGAAGGTGATATCTCTCAATGTACCATACTACCCAAAACTGGTACAGTACTTCTACAACAACATCGTCTACGAGCGCAATGCAAATGGATCCATTCACGCATTCAAATCCTATGTGAATGGGGTGGCGATGCGCATCAGCAAGAATGTGTTGGCGCAAGTACTTCAGGCTCCAAACGAGGGGAAGAGAATCAATTCTTACGGTGCTTGGAATGAAACGCATTTCACGAGAGCCAAGCAAATCCAGACGGTATGTGATCTTGATGAAGAGGAAGATGCTCAGGGGCGCAATAGGCCATCGAGTAACCACCTGACAGTTCAAGCCAGAGTTCTTCACCACATGCTTTCCTACAACATTCTGCCAAAGGGTGGACATCGGGAGACAGTCACCTACTTCGACATGGAGCTCCTCACCAACCTACTGTTAAGCGAGAAGGTGAACTTGCCATACTTAATCTTTAACCACATGCTTACTGCTGCAGAGAGTTCAAACAGGAATCTTCCCTATGGGATGATCGTCACTGTGCTATTTGAGCATTTTAATGTGAATTTAAGTGAAGAGGTGGGGTTAAGAATCTCAAGGCAGGAGTTCTATACTCTTTCATCTCTGAAAAAGATGGGCTTTGAGCTGCGTAATGGTGGTGGTGATGATGATGATGATGATGATGATGAGGGTGATGAAGGAGCTCGAGACAAGCCAATGGGGGAGGCACAGAGTTCAACTCCACCGATCACCTTACAGCGTGTGTGGGAGCGCATGGATGGCATGTACGAGTACATGGGCCAGATGTCCACCCAGATGACTGGCATGCACGACTACATGGGGCAAATGACCGCCCAGATGAGCACAATGCAGGTGACCGTGAATGAGTGGCGATCTTTCAGCTGAAGATACATGCATCCCACCACATCCGACCACCATCATGCTAGCACCACCAATGAAGAAAATGTGGATGAGAGAGAGGGGGGAGATGAGTAGGAGAAATGAGTTTTTATATTGTGTGTTTTAGTGGTCAAAACGATTGTTGTGTTATTCTGTTGTTTTTTAAGTTTTATTTTTATGTGTGAACAATTATGATTTCTGTTTTATTTTTAGTTGTTATGCTATGAATTGATGAGTCCTTGTTATAATTATGACTAATTATGATGGTTTGAAACATAATTTATACGATTAAAAGAACCACACAAATCGACATACATAAGCAAAAAAGACACGGGGCATAGGGTGACTTTCTTGTATTCGGTCGACCTCGTAACGAATTAGGTCGACCGCGAAACCAACACTTGATCTTGATTTTACGTCAATTAATTGGACACTTTGATAGAACACTTATCTTCTATCTGGTCGACCTCTTTCATCATCCGGTCGACCATTTTGTTAATGACTGCAATCAAGTGGTCGACCTATATACCTTAGGTGGTCGACCATGTTGTTTCTGACGCCAACGAAATGGCCGACCCAGGTTTTATTCTGGTCGACCAAAAATATCAACTTAAACTAAGTGCGGTCGACCAGGTGGTTGTTGAGGTCGACCGCAATGCTTTCTCGTGCTGCCCAAATTAGTCGATTCGGTCGTCCGCCTTCAGCAATAGGTCGACCGAAAAGTGCATGTCACCGTGACATGCATGTCATAGTAGGCATACCCACAAGTTTTAAGCTTCAATAATTTGTTGGAGGAAATTATGTTTCTTTTTATTTTATTTTATTTCGAAAGGTCTTTTTTTTGGCAAGATTGGAACGTGGAATGAGTTCTTTCCCTATAGAATTGGACGGAGTTTTTAAGGATTTTTTTTACTACCCACTAACATTAGTCTCACGTGCCATTTTGTGACAGCGGGTCCTACTAAAGTTGGAGGCCATTTACAATCAAATTCAACGGCAACAGGGCTTCGCCCCCATCAGCCTTGTACCTCTGGTAGGGCTGGCTATTTGGTATGAGCTTTTTGGTTTTACCCGAAACTGGACCGTATAAGCCGGATCGGAACCGGATAGGACCAGACCAAAACCGGATAAAGACCGGATATGAGAGCCCAACACCCAAAACTTCACTAAAATCTCCAGAATCCCAATCTAAAATCAAGACCGAATTGAGATCGGACCGGTTCAAAACCGAACCGGATCAAGACCAGACAGTATTCAATTCAATCTTTGGTCCTTATATTCCCGAAAAGACCGGACTGGGACCGGATCAATTCGGACCAATTTAACCGGACCGGACCGTATAGACACTCCTAACCTCCGGGAACACCAACGGGCCTCGCTTAGATTCGAACCTGGGATCTTCAACTCCCAAGCCTTCACTGTCGCAACAGCTTTACCGTTACGCTATCTTACTTTTGGTACAGAGTTTTTAAGGATAACGTTAGTGAGTTAACACAAAATTTGTTATAAAGCGTAGGGATGGCAACGGGTCGGGTTGGGCGGGATAGTGCATATCCGTTACCCTATCCAAAGTAGTTCGGTTTTACCCATACCCATTAAAGAAATAGGTAGAAAATTAAAACCATGCCCATACTCGTTCGGGTTTCGGGTATCCACGGATATCCATGGGTAATAAATTCTCTTTATAACTCCAACAAATATATTAACATTCACACGTATTCTCACATTACATAAGAGGAAAACCACGATAATAATTCACTAGAATGATGAAAATTAATTAAAAAAACACAATTGCATAAAAATGTTATATTTATATGCTACATAAAAAATATGTTAGAGAAAAATAATGATTTTCTAGACAAAATACATGTGCATGTGTATAATCGGATGGGTTCGGGTTGGATAGTGCGAAAATCATGACCACCCATTCCCCGCAATATTCGAGCTTGGGTTTTACCAATACCCACTAAAAGTCCTTCGGGTTCTACCCTACCCGATTAGGTCGGATTCGGGTGTAACCACGGTTACAGATATTTTTCTCATCCTTAATAAAGTGCTAATATTATGTCCACATAATAAAAGAAAAAATTATGCCTTTTTTATTTTTAAGAGGTTGACCACATTTAATGATAATTTTTTAAAAAAGCGACACATTTTGTTATTCTAAAAAATTATAGAGAAACATTAGTGTGGCATTGCTTGTTTATTCTTTCTCTCGACCTGATCACAAGTATCATAAAAACATACTTAAAAATACAAATAAACCACCTCACAAATAAAATAAAATAAAGTAGACAAAAAAACTTATAAAGTCTAAAAAACATAACCACCACACGTGCATTCGGTAATACCAAATATAGACGAATTCAGTATATACCAAATAATGGTACCAAACTTCCAACCCTAAGAAAGATAGTGAATTTTAGTAGGAAAGAGACATGAATGATGCAACGAATCAAAAATCAGCCTTATGAACCAAAATCAAGTACCTTTTACTTTGTGAAACAATATTATTTCTGGTAATATGATGAGCTGGAGTAAGTTTTATAGAAACCAAATTCCAGAAAATCGAATAAAAAGTCACATATCCCGCCGGTTTTCGGGAAATGAGCATCTCACAATCGTTGCTAGCTTTTACTCGGCCCGTTGACCGATTAATTTGCTTTAGAAAACTTTTATCTTGTCCTCATTGTGCTTTCTGGTTTGCATGATATTTTCAAACCGGAGCTTGAGTTATTGCGTCTTTGCACAGTTAAGTGTGGGGGGATTTGATGACTCGGTATTTGCACATGTTTTCCCCTTTGTTTCTTGATTGTTTGAGCTTGAGTTATTGCGTCTTTGTCCTATTTTATGCTAGGTTGTGTTCCTTTGTCACATTTCAGGTCCTAGCACATAAAGTGAAGCATAGGCGCAAGTTTCAAATCAATCAGAGATCAATTGACGATTTGGGAGAAGAAACTCGTGCATGACCTGAAGAAGAATGGATTTCTACCTCACTTTATGGACAAATAATCATGCAAGCTTGTAATGAAAAGAAAGACGACGAGACTACGAGCATCTGGGATCAAACGGGGACTGATTCGGTGTCCGGACGAGGGAGAAACGAAGCATTAAACAGAGGCTGAGCAAGCCACACGTGCATCCTGGAACTCCACACGCCCGTGTGGGTCGTGGCCGTGTGGAAATCACCGAGCCTTCACACGGGCAGCTGGGAAAGCCACACATCCGTGTGGCCAGGCCGCGTGATCGGGAATTTCTGTTTAAAACTCGATTTTCAGCCAAAGGAAAGGGGAGAGTTGGGTTTTGGTTCCCAAACACCCAAGGGACGAACCCTAGAGAGAGAGAGCGACTTGGGAACATTCTTGGAGCTATTTTGGAGGATTTCTTCACCATTGGAGCTCGAGAAACAAGTTTGGAGATGGAGATTAAAGATCTAATTGAGAAACTATTGCCTTTCAAAAGTAATTGCAACTTGGACCTAATTGAGGAGCTAGGGGGAATCATACCTAAGTGAGTTCACAACTTGTAATTAGTAGAGTAGTCAGTAGAGTAGTTTATAAATCAATCCTTAATCTAGTTTGCTAGATAATGAACTGAAGCTGAGTAATAGTAACTCTACAGACCCGTGGATTCGATATTTATTACTTGTGCCACTATACTGCAGTCCCTTTCATTGGTTACACTTGGCCATTGTTAGGTGTTGTGTTTTAGCGTGTCAAGTTTTTGGCGCCGTTGCCGAGGACTTTCTAGAGTATTAGGAAAGGCAGAAGTTTGTTACTTTAGCGTTTTTATTTTCTTTTCTTTTCCACCCTTGCTTTTCACTTGGGTGTTTTTGTTTTTGTTGGTGCAGATCTGAATCATGGATCCTCATGGCTTCTCCAACAATTGGGGGTATCCACCACCACCACCCCAGTGGTATTACCCCGAGACTCCCTGGAGCAATCAAGGAAGAGAAGACTATGGATTCGGGTTCCAGTACCAACCCCCTTACTACGGAGAACAACCGGACCCCTGGGCATATCAAGAACAACCTCATTATCAAGAAGAATTTCTCTCACAACAAGAAGGGCCATCGGCGCTGGAGTTACCCATGACGGCCTTCACGGGCCATTCTGCAGAGCCATGTTACACTCCATAGCCAGATCCAAACTATGAATTGAGGCTTCTCATGGAGTAGTTTGCTCGAGATTGTGAGAGATCATGCTACAGGATGGATCATTGTGTCCATGCCTATCGTGAAACAGAGGAGATCCTCCTGAGCCTTAAGAAGAGCGCCGATGATCTTGAGCGATCTTTCGCACAATCTGCTCCAGATCACCCTTCTGCTACCATACAAGAAGAGGAGGAGGAAGAAGAAGGCTACAAGGACATAGTGGAGCACACTAAAGTTGTCACGGAGAACTCCCGTGATGATCTTGATCAGGAATGTCATATCATAGACGACCACACATTCCCACATCCCAAACTGAGATTTGAAGAGGCGGGCATGAGTGAGGATGTGCAAGAAGATCTCATGAAAGAAATTGCTTGGCAACTTGCTCTCCAATCCGTGCTAGAAGAAGAAGAGCAAGAAAGGGTGCAGAAAGAAGTTGTGGAGGATGACAAAAGTGAAGCAGGAGGAGTTCTTGATCATTTCCCAGGGGTGATACCACATGAAGAAGAAAGTGAGGTTGAAGAAGCAATTGGTGTCCAGGCTGAGGATGAAGTTGAGGTGGAAGAGGCTTGCACCGGCCCTATAATACAAGTAATATACCCACCAAACTTCGAGGAACTACTTAGCAAGGACCCATTTGCAGTGTCTCTTTGCCAAACCAAGGCCACATCGACATCTGTCCCTCTTGGTGGACACGATGGTGGCCAATCGATGTTGTCATATATGGTTTGGGGCAATGAGACGAGAGAAGAGAAGAAGAGGTCTCGAGGATGGAGACTTCATCTGCATCAAGTGCACGAGCTTCCATCACCAGTCATACCACATGCTCGTGACTTGCGACTCGACCTCATTGACGAGAACCTCAACTTCAAGGAGGTTCTAGCATGGACCGAAACTTAGGAGCCATCGTCTGGCTCACGACGTGAAAGAAGCGCTTGTTGGGAGGCAACCCAACCAGTCGATTTGCATTTCTTTCTCTATTTCTCCTCGGTTGAGTCAGTTTTGTTATTTGATTTTAGAGTCAATAACTCAACCTTTGTGAGATTTTGTGTGGTGTTTGCGTTCTGATTACTCTCTCTTCCTGGAATGCACCGCTTGACCCGTCCATCATCATTCACCCTTGATCTGGTAACTTCGTTCTACCCTCCTTATCTTTCCTCCATTGAGGACAATGTCGTGCTTAAGTGTGTGTGTGGGGGGGGGGGTGTTCGATTATGTATGCGGGTGAATGTTTGGCTGTTTGTGTGCTTGGAGCCTAGTCCACTGTCCAAATTTTTAAATTTGAGGGCTCCAAGTACGTGTTTCCTTGCAAATTGCCTGCTCAGTATGCTTTGAATCAACTTCTCTATAGTAGTGTGCAACCTAGGGAGGTAGTGTAGCACTATGGAGGATGTTGAAGTATAAGATTTTTCCTATCTAGCTCTCTGTTGTGCCAGTTGATTTTGTGAAGTAGTGGAGCTAAGACCGTTGAATTCATGTGGTAATGGTGACTCTGTTTGGATTGTGTTATGGACTCGTGTATCGAACATGGTGCTCATATGGAAAATGGGAAGCAGTTGGTCCTCCATGTCGAAATCATTGAAATCTTAAACATGGGGTAAGCCCAACGTGTGTGGCACCGTTCATTGCACAAAATCGGGTTTTGGAAGAGATTTTAGTGATCCTTAGTGGGGTACTCCTACAAGGTGAAGCTAAGCTGTCTCTAGTACAAGTAAAATTTTCACCCGTTGAACGGTTTACCTACTTGAGGATGCGTTTTTAAGGGCACGGATAGAGCTTCCGACCCCCCTTGATTTCATTGACCCTCCACACGAGTTGAGGAAAAGGAATTAAAAGAAGTACTCTGGCGAGCACTAGATGTACAAAAATTGCTCTTGCTCGACTAATAAGGGTCGACCGTGCAAAAGACTGCAGTTGGAACCCCCGTCAAGTGAATGAAGAAAAAAAGAGAAAAAGAAATGTAAATGAAAGTGCAAAAAGGGGTTCTAACGGTGAAATGAAGTGAAAGAGAACTCCGGTACAACGAGTCCTTGGTTGTGAATGGTGTGAGTCCCTTTATCCATGAACTGACTGTCTTACTTCTACTTCTTCTCATTTTCCTGGCTTGAGTCTAGTTCTCGCATTGAGAGAGATAGGGGACGTCTTAGATGACCAGTTGACCTCGTAAGCTACTATATGATCTAGGAAATCCTCTACCGACGATCGGGGTTGTTTGTCGCTATAGAGGTCTGGAGAGCTGCATTGGTTTGAGTTAGGTTTGCTTGGGGACAAGCAAACAGTTAAGGGTGGGGGGATTTGATGACTCGGTATTTGCACATGTTTTCCCCTTTGTTTCTTGATTGTTTGAGCTTGAGTTATTGCGTCTTTGTCCTATTTTATGCTAGGTTGTGTTCCTTTGTCACATTTCAGGTCCTAGCACATAAAGTGAAGCATAGGCGCAAGTTTCAAATCAATCAGAGATCAATTGACGATTCGGGAGAAGAAACTCGGGCATGACCTGAAGAAGAATGGATTTCTACCTCACTTTATGGACAAATAATCATGCAAGCTTGTCATGAAAAAAAAGAGGACGAGTATACGATCGTCTAGGATCAAACGGGGACTGATTCGGAGTCCGGACGAGGGAGAAACGAAGCATTAAACAGAGGCTGAGCAAGCCACACGGGCATCCTGGAACTCCACACGGGCGTGTGGGTCATGGCCGTGTGTAAATCACCGAGCCTTCACACGGGCAGCTGGGAAAGCCACACGGCCGTGTGGCCTGGCCGCGTGATCGGGAATTTCTGTTTAAAACTCGATTTTCAGCCAAAGGAAAGGGGAGAGTTGGGTTTTGGTTCCCAAACACCCAAGGGACGAACCCTAGAGAGAGAGCGACTTGGGAACATTCTTGGAGCTATTTTGGAGGATTTCTTCACCATTGGAGCTCGAGAATCAAGCTTGGAGATGGAGATTGAAGATCTAGATCAGATTTCTGCAGTCTCTCTCTTCTCTATGAAATAACTTCCCTTCACTTAGGTTTTGAGGAACCGTAGTTCCATGTGTTGGGATCTTTCTTGTATGAAGTTTTGGATGCTATATTGTTTGATTATAATCGATTGAGGCATGATTAATAGATTCAATTGAAGCCTGATCATCTTCTCTTGATTTCTGCTTTAACCTATGATAGATAGAATATGATTAGGTTAAGAGTGCTTCCATGATTGATAGTGGTGAATTGGTTGTGCGAGAGTCAACCAATTCACTGCTTTGTACTGGAATTCATTCCTGTAGTGGAGATCTGTGTGAATCGCCTTAGCAGTCTATCCTGGTGAAGGCTAGTCGCCTGCCGGGTATTCTGTCTAAGTGGGCTTGGTCAGCTTAAGAGATTCCAAGCTAATTTAGGATCTTCTGTAGTTTAATCAACAGTAGATCAACCAAAAGTAATTGCAACTTGGACCTAATTGAGGAGCTAGGGGGAATCATACCTAAGTGAGTTCACAACTTGTAATTAGTAGAGTAGTCAGTAGAGTAGTTTATAAATCAATCCTTAATCTAGTTTGCTAGATAATGAACTGAAGCTGAGTAATAGTAACTCTAGAGACCCGTAGATTCGATATTTATTACTTGTGCCACTATACTGCAGTCCCTTTCATTGGTTACACTTGGCCATTGTTAGGTGTTGTGTTTTAGCGTGTCAATATCGTCAGACAAAAAACTTGTTTAATTTGTATTTTTTTTAGTTCTAACGAAGTCTTATATGCCATAATATAGATAGGAGAAGAACACAAATTACCGGCTTGAAAGGAGATTCTATGGTATCTGGCTACAGATTTTGAAAATCGTGCACGAGAAAATCTCTTCAAGCATTTAGTAGATGAATGCATGGAACGAGGCAAAGAGAGAAATAGTTCAAACAAAAATGCAAAGAAATGAAGTCATTAAGTTACAATGTTGCATTATTTAGACAATATGTTGAATTTATATTTGCGAGGTTGTTTCCTTCTGGATATTGAATGTTTTTCGTTTATTATATTTGTTATACAATTATGGATGTCAAGGAATTAACGATTTGAACCGTTTACTACAAGAGGTCGACCCCGTAGGCAGAGCACAAGTCAACCTCGTATGCTTACGGTCGACCTATGATACCTTTACTTAGCTCTTAAACAATGTCGAATAAGGATTCAGTCCTGTCGGTTTTGCCTTTAGCCAAAACGGTCGACCATTCGTGTAAAGAGGTCGACCTAAATGGGTCGAATTAGCTTATTATGTACTTCTCCTTGTCCATTTAGGATTTTGCATACTTGTCCTTGTTGAATTAGGATTTTATGTATCCTTGACCAATTGGGATAATGTTCCCAATACTAGTAAGGATAAAGAATTCGTCTACATTCTCTACAAATAGATGAAAGTCTTAAGACTTTATTCATACTTCGATTTATGAAATTTGTTGGAGTGAATTGTAATCTCTCTTTTTTATTGTAATCGTTTGTTGGTGGCGGTTTATTCTTACTCCGGCCGACCTTATAACTAAGTGGTCAACCTTGTTTGCTAAGGTATGCTTCGATGTGTCGTGTGTACTAGTTAACAGTTCTCTGTAGTTCACTTTTTTCCTAATTAGGTCGACCACCTCAACCTTACGGTCGACCGCAGTTGTGTAATTTTGTGATAAGGTCGACTATACAGTTGATCCAGGTCGACCTGACAAGACCTAATTTCAATTTTATTTAACCTACAATTCATATTCCGATCATTGCAGGATGGATAATAGAGATGATACAGATGATAGAGATGTTGAAGAGATTAACTTCGACGAGGAACCTGAGGATGCTCGAGGAGGACCTATGGATAATGCAGATGATACAGGTGATAAAGATGATGAAGTGATTGGGGACGATGAGGAAACTAAGGGTGCCAAAGAAGAATTTATGGATGATAAAGAAGCTACTGAATATGAACAACAAATTCCATCCATGGAGTTCCAAACATTAGAAGATGCAGAGAAATTTTATGATGCCTATGCTAAAGAAAAAGGGTTTAGCGTTCAACGTAGAAATCTTCAGAGGAATCATCGAGGAGAGGTAACTAAGAGGACAATGGTATGTTCAAGAGAGGGAATTAGATAGAAGAGGCTTATAGATAAAGAATGTCGGACACGACAACATCGTAAGATGACAAGACATTCTTGTTGTACGCTTTGATCGGACTAAGAAAATGTGGGTTGTTTCTAAGTTCGAGAGGAAGCACTCACATCGTTGCTGCAATGAAGAAAAAACTCAATTCCTTCGGTCTCATCGAAATGTGAGTGAAGGAGACAGGGCTTTGGCGATAGGGATGAGACAATCAGGAATAAAACAACGCCACGTTGTTCAGTTCATGAAGAATAAAGTTGGAGGATAAGAGAATCTGGGGTACACTGCAAAGGATTTGGATAACTCTGTTCAGAAATCCCGACCAGTTGACGACGATCTAATAGGAGATGTGAACCAAATATTGGGTTACTTGCAAAGTAAACATACTTCTGATTCTGGCAGCTTCTTCAAGTACACAACAACGATCAAGGTGAATTAAGAAATCTCTTTTGGTCGGACTCCACTTCTAGAGCATATTACAATTTTTTTGGGGATGTCTTGGCGTTTGATGCATGCTACAAGCGCAATAAGTACAATCGGCCATTTGTTATGATGGTTGATGTAAATCACCACCACCGTAACATCATATATGGTTTTGGCCAGTTGGATAATGAAACTGTAACACCCTACCCTGTACGTATTGCCTAATCATATTGTTCATATAATTGCAGCGAAATTTATCTTGGTGTTACATTAATTATCAAAATTTACCCAAATAAAATTTCGACATGAATTACTCGCGTAATGGGTTAACAGTTCTTGCAACTTATCCTGCAAAATAATTCATCACAAACATATGTACTCACAACCATAAGCATTGGCTTTCATAGCCAAAGTCACAGTTTTCATACTACACAACTGCATACCATACTGATACAAGCCATAATCGCCACAACTTACATAATTACAAAAATATACACATATCATCAACTTTCCACACCTGTGGATATCTCACACTAAATCAGAAGCTAGTATGCACATGAAAAATGTTCTCCAAACATTTTTACAAAAAAGGTGTGAATCACTGGCCAAAATCCCGAGTAGTAGTCCAAGCACAGAGTAGTGGAAGACCATACCTCATCTTGCCTTCAACTCTTGCTCAGCTCCCACCTATACACCTATCTACTGCTGATGATCTGCTTACACATAGCATAAGCAGAGAAGAATAATAAAAGAGGGTCAGCTCATGGCTGAGTGAGATAATCATAGCATCGTGAGTTCATAACAGAGCATACCCCTATCATACATCTAACAATCAAGCCAAAACACTAGGATCGGACCTCAGCCATTCTCATATCCCAATAGGCAAAAGACTCAACCACCTTGACTTATGCATATGCATCTTATCATGTTTTACTTATAGGCGACTGGCTACTCCCATGCTAATAACTCTCCCGGGAAACATACCCCACATCCCGTCTGATGTAGTCATACATACCCCAACATCCCGTCAGATGTGGTCATACATACCCCACACCACTATGGGTGTAGTCATACCCCGACACCGCTCTGGGTGTGGTCATATCTCATAAGAATTCTTCAGTCACCACCATATGAGAGGTGTGACTATCATACATATCGTAATAGAGTAATAGCATAGGGAGCCCTAATTACTATGTAGTTGACCGTGAGACCACAACACTCATATTTGGTATCCTTATACATGATTCATATCTCATCTTGCTTAATCATAATTCATTACTTGCACATGTACTTGACCTGACCATAATTGGCTCAACATAGGTAAATCAGGAGTCGTATAATTGCACTTCCTCGGGATAAACCCTCGTGCAAGTCATCCTCCTTAAACATCATAATATCACCCTGGGAAGTTTATTCCCCCACTTATGGATCCAACTACAACCATAATATCACACCATGTCAAAACCCCTTATCGAACAACCATGAAGTCATATCAACAGTTAAGTCACAAATGGCAACATGTATGCAATCATCCACATAAACAAGGTTCATATCGATTAGGGCAAGTCAATAATATCATACAGCAGTCCAGGGTTCATCATAAAGCACAAAAGTCCATACACCACTAATCATGCCATTCTAGTTCACCTAGGTCAATTCTAAGCATCAATATAATTATCGTGATACGACAAACCCGGTATGCCGTGCTAATCCCTCACCAGTTCTGGTCGTTCAAACACCGGTTTAACCTTCCCGTACTAAAACGTCAATTTCACGAACGAACCCCGAATTAAAATCCGAGACCGTCCTAATATCCCCTGCAGTATCCCCGTCAATTTAGTTCTAGGCTCCGGGTCAAATTCTTGATAAAAACACATCAAACCTTGGCCGGAGCTAAATTCAGCGATTTGGACCCCGGCCTAAATAATTGACGAAATTCAGGGATTAGAACTAGAGGATTGATTACCTCGCTGCAGGAAGCTCGTATATGAAATTTGGGCTTAACCTAGCTTCTGGATCGTCCAAACCTCTCAATTCCTTCGGTTGAGAAAATAACAGATTATCGTACCAAACTATGGTATAAGCTTCTAAATTGATCGGCTATAAGAGGGAAGGATTACGAGAAGACCACAAAATTATTGTATTACCTAAACTTGTGAATCGTCTTCAACAGGCCTTTCCGAATCCTCCCTGCGCTCTCGCCTCTCTGTTCCTCAATTGCTTCGTCCGAGGTTTGAAAATGGAATAAAAGGAACCGTAACTTAATGTGAAGATATATATATACAGCGGTCTCAACCGCTTTACTCTTTATTAGTTAATTGCTTTTCGTGTACAGGACACACATGTATTAGTGTTAACATATATATATATATATATTAATTAATACGTATACTTATCCGATCGATAATCCGATTTTCGTCGAAATACTATCAAAACATTCGATTTTAAATCGTAAAATTTCTAGCAACCGTAATACGAGTTTTGCCGAAAAGGGATGTTACAATTCTCCCCTCCTTAAAAAGATTTCATCCTCGAAATCTATCCTTAAGTTATACCTAAAGTCTGCTTACTTATCCTTAACATGATCGATCGTACATAAGGTTACTACCTAACTCTTAGGTTAGGAGATCTGAATTACATAACTAAACACATAACACCTCAAGTTCCCATGTTTACGTTTCAAAAACCTATACTGGGCTATCGCAACAAAAACACATCAACAAGTTCAAAACATAACTTATTAAGCAAGATTGTTAACCTGCAAAGTAGGTTGCTACTAACTCAGGGTACTTCTCCCGCATACTTGCTTCAGTTTCCCATGTAGCACTCTCACTATCTTGATTTCTCCAAACCACTTTCAACATTGGGATTTCCTTCCTACGAAGATTCTTAATTTGAAAATCAACAATCTCAACTGGAACCTCCTCAAAAGTTAAATCTGGACCCAACTCGATCTCTTCTGCTTGTATAACATGGGAAGGATCCACTTTGTACCTCTTCAGCATACTAACATGAAATACATTGTGGATTT